TTTCTGGATAATGTTGCCAACCTCAGCCTTTATTCATTTTTGTCCTCTGTAATAGTCGCTTAAAATATCCTTCCGTCCTGCCCCTTCTCTTCTGCCGTGAACTCTGTTGCTGGACCAAGAGCATCGGGTTAAACACGGCTGGAACTGGGTTCTCCTTTGCTCGGACTGCTTCCCAAACGTTGGAATCTCTCACAGTTCCAAAGTGCCTTCAGCCCTTCCCTGTTCCTCTGTCTCAGTAGAGGCTTTCTTTCCTGTGCTTCTCCCTCGTAGCCTAATTACGTCCCTTCCTTCTTCCTAGGCCAACACCTAAACCGTGGATTCAGGTATTGGCTATATTTGCCTGGCTTCCTGACACATTGACCCGCTTGTTCCAAAACTGTATTCCAAACACACCGCTTTGTGACCTGAGTGTTGTTAGCCTCGCCAGACCGTGAGCATTTATTGAAGACTCACTAGGTTCTAGACGGAGGGGAATTGCATATGTACACATATAATGTTAAAATACACATATTATCAATGTTTGTTTCTTTAAAAGAGTTACTTGAGTATGTACCCCACCTGAGAGGATAAAATTATGATGCTTTAAAAAGGAAAAATGTATATAATGGACAGTATGACATAGTATATGATGGAAGCCAGGTAGGCAGATAATAAAGGCCATAAAAACTCCGAGCTAGAGGGTGCCCTTCAGGCGACCCTGTTAAGGAAAGGCTACTGCAAGACACCCCCAAGCCTTGGACACCCCTGGAAGGAGAATGTCTCCTCACCTACTGAAGCATAGAAATGAGAAGACACAGGAGAAAGTGTGCCGCCCAGGTGATTCTGAGGACACCTGCCGGGAAGCACTCAACACTCACCTAAGGTGGCTTGTTACTGGCTTCCTGGCCACTGGAAAGTGAAGACTACAGGGCAGACGGCTTATGGGTCTATGCTTCCCAGCAGCTGAAGGTCAGGATCCAAGACAGAGAAGAGTGACAGAGATGATGACTCAGGCACGGGTTAAGTTTAGAATGTATGACTTAAAGATGGGTAGCAGCCCAAAGCGACGTTTGTGTATCTTTCTTCAATTGTAAATCTCTGCGGGAAGAAAGCTTTTACAGCCTATAGTCCCTGAATAGCTTAGCTCTGTAACATATGAGCCACAAGTGCAGCGATGCCATTTCTATAGTGTTCAAACATTTGCCAAGAATTTGTAATAAAGATTTTCTCATTTGCATTTTCCGGCACCCTCTAGAGTGGCTAGAATAGGGGATATTACCTCTGCTTTACGGATGAATAAACATGCCTGAGTACATGTAAGCAGCAGGAAGGAAATGAAAGCCTCCATTTTTCTAAAACCTGGGACTATAGAAGCTGAACCATGTGGTTTAGACCATGAGCTTCAGAGTCAGGCAGACCTGGATGGAATCTCAGTTCCAGGATTAGCAATGTGACCTTGAGCAACTTACTTATCTTCTCTGAGTTTCAATTTTATCATCTGTAAGATGGAGATAATAGTGCCTTCCTCGTGGAAGATTAAATGGGATAATTTTTTAAGGCATATAGTTCCTTAAGAAGTGTAACTCCTTGAGGATAAGTGGAGAAAACCAGCTTTAAGTAAATAATTATTTCACATACGGAACGCATACTAAAAGTTGCGACCTGATTCCAATTAATGAGCAGAATATTGACAGAAGTTTGATCTTCTGGGTTGCCTAGCAACCAAGACTAACTCAATACCACAAGTTACCAGACTTGTTTTTATTCAGACTAGGAATTCAGCTGCTCTTAAGGGACTCAAGGTTGTGAGAAGACAAAAGGATTCTCCTGTGAATCTGGAGTTTCACAGACATTTTAAATACATAGTGTCCTTGGTGACTTTGTACTGAACACGCTTGGATGTTGGGGTCGTCCCCATTTCCCTTCCCCTTGGTGACAGATGTCAGAACACCCATTAAGTTGGATAGAGAGTGGGCGTGGAGAAGGCAGAATGCTCGCACCTCTATGCCAACGTATCCCATCCACATTCATCAACTGCTAGGGGATCAGAAATACGAAAAGATTCTGCCCCTGAAGAATTTCAGAATCTAGGAAGGGAAGCTGGTCAGTGTTAGGTGATAACTGAATTATTTCATGAGTGGCTTTCCAAGCCTATGTCCCTGGCTGTACTCTAAGCATTACAGATAGAGCAGGTCTTAAACATCCAGTGTTAAGATTATCATTTGCTTGCAAACCCATCCTGGCAGCATATCTCTCTGCTCTCCCAACACATTCCGGGTTCACAGGCTTGAAAGGCGGCGCTGCTGGCTGGAGAGGGCATGACGCTGGGAGGAGGGGGCCTTGGGCTCCCACCCACTGCGGGACTTACCGCCGTTCTCTGAAGCAAGATACTTAACCTGACTCACGTCCTGCTTTTCTCAGTTGTGAGCCGGGCGTGATGATTTGGATTCTGACTTCCTCATGGCAAGAAGTGTGATGCAATGAGATAATAAATGTGTAAGTTCTGAGGAGATAAGTGCAGTTTCTGGGCTAATCTTCAGCAGTTTGCCATCAAGTTTGTATCATACTCCATGCAGCATCCCTGTATCTTCCTTTATTACATTTCCTTATTCTTTTATAACTCCAGGTTTTACAATTTAAAAAGAAAAAAAGGGGAGGTTGGCATTTTTGTGTTTATTTGCACTTGATTTTGTTTCCATCATTCGTATCTCAGTGCACTGACTTCATTTGCAGGCAAGATCAACATGGTTTAAGAAATCCCCCGGACCCCTTAGGCATGTCAGCATTTGTTGACCCAGAAACATGACTTAGGGTGCAGGCCTGGAGAGCAGGCAGGGGGTGGATGGGTCGTGCTCAGCGTTCAGAGAGTGCTGCTGGCATGTGTCAGAGGCACACAGGCTCACCTGCCCCTGCCAGTCAGTCCTTCCTCTTCTGGTAAAGTCCCTCTGCCCTGGAGACTGGCTAAAAGCACAGGGAGTGGAGAAAGGCTGGGTGTGGAGTTACTTGATCAGGGTAGGTCAGCACCCTGGGCTGTGCGATCCGGCGCCGGGATCAGAAGCCGACTGGAAGCACAGTCCCTCTTCTGGTCCCGGGGCCACACCCTTGGAATGGAGGTAACCCAGTCTACCCCGCAAGTCAAGATTTTAAGGGGACAACATTCCCATCAACTCCCTTCTGAATTGCTGCAAATGTTTTACGTGGCCTTTCTCTATCAGCATCATTTTAACCTTTTGTGGAGGATTATAAATTTTTAAGAAAGTTCAAACCAAAGTTCACAGCTCCACTAGTGGTGCTTTTTAATATTGGCTTCAGTGGCTGTGTTTGGTTTCCTGAAGAATTGATTCATTTAAAATAATGCTAGTTTTAAAGTAAAACAGCAGGGCGGTTAACATTTGCAGTTCGGTGTTTCACTACTTATTGTATCTTTTTTTAAAAATTTCTTTGTTGTGACTATTCAGTAGCACCCAATTCTGTGTTTTGTTTAAAGAGGAGAAATTAAACACCTTCGGGGTGCTGGTCGGCCTTGAATCTCATCACAGAGTGCTGGGGGGAGGCCAGACTTCGGGGGATGCCGAACGTTTAAAATGTATTTGAAAGCAGCTTACATAAAAATAACAATGTGACTATAAGTTATAAGTCTCTGGGCTTTTCTTTTTTTAAGGATTCACCTAGTGGTGTTCTTAAAGTCATCACTTGCTGAAAAAAGAATCACTTTCCAAGCTGAAGAACCAGGAACTTCGACAACGGCAGTAGCTCCCTTATTTCCATTTCTACTTCTGTTCGTGATTTTACACTGTTCCCTTTTTGACTTCAGCCTGTAGCCATTTTCACCCCTGTGTGTCTGTATTATTTTCGATGAGACATGATCTGTGATACCTGATATTTTATTGACAGGTGTTCTGGAAATAATCTGTCTCAAAAATAAACACACTAAATATAGCACACAAGTTCAAGGCTTTTGAATGGCACAGTGGTTTAAAAAAAAATCAATCTAATGACTGCTTCACGTTGAAACCATTTCTTGTAAAGAAACCCGGTGGTGAGTGGTACATACCCTACAGCTCTGTCATGGTTAAATCTCTCCTGATTCAGATCCCACATTAGCATTTTTACCATATGGCTGGAAGGGTAGAGAATATATGTTGCAGAGGAACAAGTTGGTAACATTTTTGACCATCTGGTAAATAAATGTGTAAGTGGCAGGAATTTTAATATTATTTACTTAGTTATATGGATGAAAGCTTTAGCCTGGAATAGGCCCTAATACAGTAAAGTACAACTAAACTTATATTTCTCAAAGCCTTTGACTCTCCTTCACTAAACATTGTCACAGTCTACTAGGTACTCTTAAAATCTGACTCCTAATTATGTGTTTCTTATACTTATTGATTTACTGGGGCACCTGACAGTGCCTAACTTAAAATATCTTGTAGGAGAGGCCACATGACTGGGTCCAGCATACGGGCTTCAGTGCTGACGTTCTGCTCTGCCACTAACCACTGTGTGGCCTGGGATAAATTACTTGGCCTCTCTGAGCCTGGAATTCTTTAGCCAGAAAGAATGAACAACATACTGTTAAAAAGGCATCTCTCAAAGGGTGGACTGTGGAAAGCCATGGATTGATGCACCTAAATCATGTGGGGAGCTTACTCAAAATACCAGCACATTGGTCCCACCCTCAGAGATTCAGGCTCAGTATGTCTGGAAAGAGTATATGAATCTTCACTTTCAGTCAGTGTCTGAAGGGATTCCGAAGTACACGGAGCCACTGTTACGGAGACTGAGTATAGATAGCACTTAGCTTTTTTGAAAAATACATAGCTAACCGATTCTAATAACACTAAATTTTTGTAAATACTTTACTATTATCAATAAGCATAACTCAAAATATTGATTTTATACCCTAGAAATTTAACGCTTGACAGTATTTGTGCTTGAAATACTCTAACTTCATAGAAAATGGAATGTCACCTTGAATATGTCACTGTGTTTAATGACATCTATTTTTTCTTTTCTTGCAGAGGAAAACACAAAATCTTTGTGGGCCAGATCTAAATCAGGAGCCCAGGTGAACTTAGAGAAGCCAGCATGGGATTCTTAGTTTTTCAAGATCCATTCACGCCAGACCCTAATCGCCACGGCTCGTGTCCAGGCATTTTGTGGTTTTGTGGACATGTAGCAAGACCCTGATGATGGAAAAGCAAAGGACTTAATTACTCACTTGAACATCATCTCATGCCAACTGATGAGGGAAACCAAAGGGTAGCACAGCCATGGAAAGAAATTCCAGCTTATGGAAGAACCTAGTAGATGAGCACCCGGTCTGCACCAGCTGGAAGCAAGAGGCTGAAGGGGCCATTTATCACCTTGCCAGCATTTTATTTGTTGTAGGTTTCATGGGCGGCAGTGGATTCTTCGGGCTCCTATACGTCTTCAGTTTGCTGGGGTTAGGTTTTCTTTGCTCTGCTGCCTGGGCTTGGGTAGACATCTGTGCAGCTGACATGTTCTCCTGGAACTTTGTGCTGTTCGTCATCTGCTTCGTGCAGTTTGTCCATATCGCGTATCAAGTTCGCAGCATAACTTTTGCCCGAGAATTCCAGCTGTTGTACAGCTCCCTTTTCCAGCCTCTGGGGACCTCTTTGCCCGTCTTCAGAACAATTGCTCTGAGCTCTGAGGTGGTTACTTTGGAAAAGGAGCACTATTATGCCATGCAGGGGAAAACCTCCATCGATAAACTGTCCCTGCTTGTTTCGGGAAGGTTTGTACGCGCGATGCTTACACGTCTTATCCTCTATATTGTTATGAGTTTGTGTTTCTTTCTGCTGCATTTTTCCATCTCGGCACAGCATGGTCTGGGGCTATATTTAGCGCCCTGAGACATGAGAAGGACCTTGACCCATGAGTCACGGGCACAGGCATTTAGAGTACATGGTATTATTTACTTGAAGTATGATATAATCTAAAGTGCTTCTATTTCTAATTAGAAATCAACTGTATGAATCGGTTTGTCTGGATATGCTATTTGTTTTCAAGCTCATCATTGAGAACCATAAGGAAGGTGGTGCCAGCTTGAATTAACAGAATACTTACGCTGGCATCCAAAGTATTTTAAATAGACTCTGATAGGGAATTCTTTTAAGTACCGTTGACCCTTGAACAATGCAGGGTTTAGGGACTCTGAGGTCTCATGCAGTTGGAAATCCAGGTATGACTCCTGGCTTCCCCAGAACTTAACTACTAATAGCCTACTATTGATTTTATGGTAGTAAATGATGAAACAGACTAGTAGCTGCATGTATTTTATGCATTAATGACATACCTAACTTTTTCTTAAGTTTTTGATATTTCTAGGCTGCATGGTTCATCTACAAGTTTTTTTCAAGTTGCTGTAAACCTCCAAAAAATTTTCCAATATATTTGTTGAGAAAAATCTACATATATGTATGTGTGACAGTTCAAACTTGTGTGGTTCAAGGGTCAACTGTAATAGAGAACATTTACATTTTATAACGATCACATTATTTTCAGCAAATTCTAGCAGTTGCCCTCTTGTTAAAAGGGGGGTTGCACCTCATTTATGTGTGTGTGTATACATATGTAAACTTTGAAAAGAGAAAGTTTAGGGAAGGAAACAATGTGATTATTCATATTTTTAAAAGGTTATTTAGTTTACAGAGGTATTTATAGTCATATTCCTTTATGTTCTTCAGTGTTCTCTTACTTCGTTTAAACTCTCAGTGCATTAAACTTTTTATTGAGATAATATACATTTATTATTTATGATAAATAATAAATTTATTAATATGCATTTATAATATACACACATAAATGTGCACATATCATAAATGTATAGCTCGATGAATATTCTGATGAATTTCATCCAGTATTTCAGAATCCTGTGTGAGGAACATTGGTACGTCAGTTCTAGGAGATTTTGTTACTTACTGAAACGTATTTAGTATTTTGCCTTCAAAATCTTAAAAGCCAAAAAGGTGGTCAGAAGTCTGAAACGCCGCCCACCCCGCCCCACCCCCGTCCTCGCCCCCAGCCATGCGCCTGCCTCCTGCATCCCTCAGGAATGATGCTGTTTGTGTTTGCTAGGATCAGAGTGACGGTTGACGGCGAATTTCTGCATTACATCTTCCCCTTCCAGTTTCTGGACTCCCCTGAGTGGGACTCCCTGAGACCCACAGAGGAAGGCATCTTTCAGGTAAGGGATAACTAGACCGCGCAGTGAGCACAGCCTCTTCCGAACACACCAACATTGTTTGTTTCAGAACAGCTAACAAACAGAACAACAGATGACAGAGGAACGATTTATATTTAGCTCTGGAACGTCCTTTGAAGCGTGCATGACGTGCCTGTTCGGTTCACCCCTCACCGATCGGTGCCGCTCTAGAGGTTCAGCACAGGAGGAGGATGGGCATACTGTATGGCAGAAAAGCCTGGAAACATTCTTAAATTTCCCTTTGCTTAACTGCATATATGGAAGTTAAAATATAATTCATTGAGATTCGACTGTGCACTAAACACCGCCACTGTGACAGTTTAGAAAAACACCAAGAATGAAAAATCTGCCCTTATTACAAAGTAAGTGTTTTTTGTAATTTAAGATGTGGATGGATTTCAGTTGTTTTCTAGCAACAAAATGCTAAACTTATTGTCACTGCTCTGCTGCCACGGCCGATGGTGATTTCAGCAGGTTCTGTTATGGTATATTGTTTTCCTCTATTAATACATGACACGTGTATATACAAATACTAATTCATATGCCTATGCAGAGTAAGTAGGTAAATGAATTCCGTTTTGTACTACAGAAACTGACGTAGGGGTTAAACGTCCAGTCTTCAGGACTGACTTGAAAATACTTCTCTAACATTAGCCAGTGTTATTATTTTTAGTATGAAGTAGATCTCACCTCAAAATATAGACAGCTGAATTTAGAAAATGGGTAAATTGGGATGGGCACAATGTTGTGATTATTTATGTCATAAATTTTATATATATATATATATATATATATATATATATACACACATATACATAGTAGTAAACATTATAGTTTCCTTTCCTATTTTTGCAGTATACTGTGGGTCAATGGGCTTTATTAACCTAAGAGCAGCAAGTGAAATTCATTTAAAACTTGGGGCAAATAAAATGTGGCAGAACTTTAACTGCACCCTGCGCTTTGTTTATATGCGGTTCTCTGTTTTCATTTTTGCTTTTTTAGGTGACTCTCACGGCAGAAACTGACTGTCGATACGTGTCTTGGAGGAGAAAGAAACTGTACTTACTCTTTGCTCAGCATCGTTACATCTCCCGCCTGTTTTCAGTTTTAATCGGCAGCGACATTGCTGATAAACTCTACGCCTTGAATGACAGGGTGTGTATAGGAAAAAGATGCCACTACGATATTCGGTTACCCAACTTCTATCAAATGTCAAGTCCAGAAACCCCTAAGAGGTCACCCCTCACAGAACGTTTTCGGAATTCTAGACGATATTGTGATAAATGACAATTTAGAAGTCTGAAGTTTTCTAATTATGAAAAAGACTGTCTTCATCCTTCCCCAAAGGAAACAGCGAAATATAGAAAATTGAGCTCACTAATATTTTTATAAATCAAACTCAGGCAAGATGCCATTGCCAGCTCTTTTACTCATCTCAACTTCTGCATTGTGAATAAATTTACAAACTTTTCTGTACTTCTTATTGGAACAAATGGGGGAGGACGAACAGCTATGGGCAGTTTCTCCTTTTCTGTGTCAGAACTGGGAGAATGAAATTTTGCATTCTCAATGATTTTCTCAGATTTATTCAAATCTGCTGTCCTATGGAGTGTGGAGTCGCTTCTCAAGAAGCAGCCAGTGAACCCTCTCAGCATGAGCACGGGTTGCTACCATCCATGTCAGTGTTTCCAGAATTCACTTTTCGCTACAACCTCTGACGAAAGCGAGGTGTATTATTGTGGTAGGCAGCAATTCTTTATTTGAAATGTGAGGTTACTTAATATGACTACAAAGTAGAATAAATATGACAATGTGCCAATCTTGGGAGACTTTTATTGCTACAAACAATTCATCAGCTATTCTTTATAACAACATATTGAAAAAGAGGCATTTCCTGGAAAACAAAGCTGCATAATTACTGAGTAAAAAGAATAGCCAGGCACAAGCAGTAAAAATGTTGCGCAACATTTCAGTTTTATGTGCTCAGCTGAAAGGGTAAGAGTGAGTGGTTTGAGTGATTGGTGAGGGCCTCAGAGCAAACCCCCCGTTCACCCCACAAACACGGCAGGCTGCCTTACAGCCACGGCTCCAGCTTTGTAAAGAAGAGCACGAGAAAGAGACAGATCCTCACGCACAGATCTGATCCCCATCTCTGGAAAACCAGTTTCCTGAAGATCACATGCCAGCCATGTTCTTTGGTAGAGAAATATATCCTCATCTATTTAACAAACATATTGAGCACCTACTACGGCTCCAGTCATAGTGTCAGAGATCCCACCCCTCCCAGAGCTTGCATTCTGGGGCCGAGGGAGACGGATAATAAATCGGGAAAGCCTAAGTTAGAACGAGCCCCATGGGGAGAGGTTCATCAGGGAAGGCGACCAGGGAGAGGTGGTCAAGGAAGGAGTGCATGGGAAGGTTATGTTTGAACAAAGACCTAAAAGAGGCAAAGGAACAAGCCAGGGGCATCTGGGGTGGGGGGAGCAATCTGGGTAGAGGGGAGAGCAAATGGGAAGGGCTGCAGTCACGAGCATGCCAGGCTGGACCCGGGGCAGCAGGAGGGGCAGCCTGGCCAGGGCAGGGCAGGGAGAGAAGGCAACGGGGTCTGGGGCGACGGGGTGCGCCTGGCAAGTCACGGCGAGGATTAGGAGCCACTGGGGGTGCTAAATAGAGGAGCGACATGTTTAGTAGAATCCCAGCGTCTAGCCTGCTCAGAACAGACTGGGGAGCAGGGGACAAGAGAGGGCCTGGAGGGGGGATGGGGTTAAGTGTGAGATGCTTACTAGACCCTGAAGGAGAGTCAGGAGTGGATGAGTGTGGAGTTCAAGAGAAGGTCTGGGCAGGAGATAAAGACTTGGGAGTATTGCACCTGTCGATGATATTTACAACCATGAGATCAGACGAATGGCCAAGAGAGCGAGTGCAGATTCAGAAGGAAAATGGTCTGAGGACCTTTCAGGGGGACACTCCCTTGTTAAGAGCACAGGGAGATGGGGAGGGGTCAGCAGAGGACATGAGAAGGTGCAGCCAGGGGGGCAGGAAGGAAGTCAGGAACGGGGGCTCCTGGAAGCCAGGCGAAGGATGTGTTCAAGGAGAAGGGGGCAGTGGACGCCCCAAGTGTGGCTTACAGGCAGGTGATGCGAGGTCTGAGAGCAGGTCACTGGGTGAGCACCAGGGAGGTCACAGTGGACTTGACAGGTACAGTTTTAGTGGAGTGACTGAAGACAGAAACTTGGCTGAAGCAGGTTGAGGGGAAATTGAGAGGGAAGAAGTTGGAAGAACAAGTATGGGTATGTTTTTCAGGGAGTTTTGAATTGAAGGGAAGTAGAAACGGACAGTAGCCTGAGCAGGAAGCGCAGTCAAGGGAGAGGACGTTTCTATTGTTTTAAGATAAGAGAAAACATGGCATATTTGTATGCTGATGGGAATGTTCCAGAAGAGAGGGATGCATGGGTGAAGGCGTGACAAGCAGGTGAGTGAGACTGGGACCCAGTGACCTTAAACAGGAACATGGACAATTAATTATTCCGAAGGAGAGAGGGCAGGATATAGGGGAGGGCAGGGCTTGGCAAGTCAGAGAGGAGGTGGAAGCTCGAGAAAGTTCCCTGGAATTACTTTTATTTTCTCCGTGACCTAGGAAGCCAAGTGCGCAAGGAGGATGGGGGCTATGCAAAGCACGTTACTTTTTCTGTATGTTAGCACCTGCCGTAAGGGGGACAGTGGGACAAGGTCTGAATCATTGGTCTGGATGAGTTACTGAGCTATTCAAGTTCAGCATGAACCAAAGGAGTAGTCGGAGGGCTTCTTCTGTCTCCCAGCCCCACAGGGAAATCATGGCAGCTCTTGCAAGCAGACAAGATGGCAGCTGTTTGCCTGGTGCAGCTGAAGGGCCTTCCGGAAGCAGCCACTGGCTTGTCAGTGGGCTGCCCGATGGCGCAGGGAGGAGTTCACTTCTTTGGTCTTTAAGACTTTGTGATATTAAATATTAAAATACACAGCACCCCAAGTAGAAGTCACACCGTAAGTTAGCACCAGCTGATGATTTAACAGGGGTAATTATCAGATAGCTTCCTAACCACGGAAGTCAACTGAGAACAAAGCCACATGGAAATGGGGTGCAGATTTTTGGTTCACATCATGTAGCAGGAGGAGGAGAATTTATATACGAGTTTTCTAGAACTATAACCATTTTAAGGATGAGGAGATAGGAGTACAAACCTCAGAGGACAAGGGATGTTGAAAGAGGAGCTGAAGACATGCTGTGCGGCCTGTCTTCACACTCCCGTGCAGGGCGGGCACTGCCCTCGGCACTAACAGATACACTGTTATCCAGCACCCGGTCTGCACGCAGGTTGTCTTACTTCAAAGAAAAAAAAAAAATCACAAACCCCAGAATGACCTCTGCGTGTCTGCTCTGTATGTTTGGTTTGAAATGTGCAGCAAACCACGTTACTATTTCAAAATACTCCTCCATCTAGACACACACAAGAAACCAACCACTACTGGCCCAGAAAAGTGCCCCTGAGGTGCAATATTCACAGTGCACTTGGGATTTAATTTCTAGTAAAAAGTGGGCTCGTTTCAATCTCAGCCTAAGTGTTCCCAGCCCTAAATTCCTCCGATTCGTCTACCACTGGTGAGAGTGCAGTAAGACAAGGAATCCACTGGTTGTTTTCTTCTGTGAAAAACAGGTCATGGCTTTGTAAGCAGGATATGCATACGCGCAAGTGAATGAGCCCATAAACACCCCATCCAGTCACCAAGGCAAGTTCCTGGAGGCTGCAGACCCCTCGTGCACAGTCTTTACTTCAGCTGGACATACGAAGGTTTCCTGCCCCCCAGTCTCCCTGAGGCTAGTCCTTCGAGCCGGACTTGACCTCTCGCAAATATGAGAAGGGACCAGTGTGACTTGCTCTGAACGCCCCCACCACCCCTCCCAGGAACTCACAATGCTGATAAAAAATCCACCAGAAAGAATAATACGATGTTCCCTCAGTACTCAGGGGTTGGAGAATTTTCTCTCCTCCTCAACGAGGAGCAGAAGGAAATTCATTTGCTTTCTGCTCATCTGGATAAGCTCCGGATGTCACATTGTTACACTGCACAGAGCCAGAGGGACAGAATTGATTTGACAGAGCGCTTACAAAGTGAAATCCCTCAGCGAAGCTGGCAAGAGCCGCAAGGAAACATACCAGGCAGACAGACCACATCGCTGTCGAGCAACACCTTATACAGCGCTGTGCCCTTCGGACTCCTGGTCTGACCGAGGTCGTAAATGTATACGTGGCACCGGATTTCTAACTGGGTTCTGTTATACTGCGCCTGGCTACAGAAGAAATTAACCTTCAGAGTGGTGTTTCTAAATTAATATTATTTTTTAGTAAAAGATAGTTTTTATGTAAATTAGAGAACTCAATGGGCCTAATTAATTCCATTATTTTTCTTCATCCTCCTAATTTCACACACATATATCCATGAAAAATACAAATATCTCCATCATATTGACTTACAATAAAATATTTGATAGAAATAACTTGATAGAACTGTGGATTATTTCAAGATCAAAACTCTTAAAAGTAATGAGAAGATGTAGCAAAAATTGGAATATTGGTCACTTTAGCCCTTGGTCATCTCACTGTGAGTATTGCCATAGTTGTAATGCTGGGTTGTATATTTGCATATAATATCAACATGGTTTCTTCATGATTTGAAGTTTTATTATGATAAATAATAATATTTTTATTTGACTAGTTTTATAACCTGCTAGGTATTAAAGATTGACAGGGAACTTTTCTCCCCCCTAAAAACTGGTGATTTGTGTCTTGAACTATGATTTTCCTCTGTACTCGGTTTCAAGTCAAGCTTCAGTGGTCTTAATAAATGTAATATTATTTTATTAATAGGATTCTAAAAATATTTGCCTTTCCATAATTTTATAGGAGGACTGTAGCTCCACCAGATGATGTGAGTCACTAACTTTTGAGATGACCACTCTTACTGAATATAAAATATAAAATTAAATATAAAATAAATATAAAATTATCTCCCCAATTATGTAATTTAAAACATTATCTTACATCTTTTTACTACCTTACAGTGTACAAGGCACATGCCTACACATGACTTCAATTGCCTGTTCCTTAGAAGAATCCCATTTTAGGGATAAAGAGCAGAGGTGAGTCACGGCACATGACGACACTCAGTTCTTTCAAGTCACTGTCCTTGCATTTTCCCTGCTGCCCTGTGACCATGGTGCCACTAAATGACTTGAAGAGAACTAAAGTGCCCCCCGCCAGCTGAAAAGAAAGGAAGCCCAGAGCCAAAATCCTAGTTACATATCTGTGGAATTTATCAGTGACAGCACAGCATGGGGAATATTATCTGAACACGAACCTTCCTTCTTCAGGAACCGCAGCAACTAGCTCGAGCTCAAATGTGGTCTGCAAGTGAAATGTGTAATTAAATGTAACCCTATTAAAATGGATATACGTTTGTATAATGAAAGAGCACGGCCAAGCTCCTATGAGGCAGTTTAAATCAGTTCTTCGAATTTGGGATCTGTCCACTTTCATTTCAGATACACGTATGGCTCATTTGAGATCTCGCCACAGATTTTACCAAGAAGCCTTCATGATCTTGGGCCACCAAGACTTATGTGCCACCCCCTCTCCTTACATTATAGGTAAACTAATTCAGTACATCTCATAGCATCGTTTTCCTCTTTTCTAAAATGGAATAAAATTTTGTGTACAGTGTAACTTTGTAAACTGAAGCTTTTTCAAATAGTAGCCAGTAAGGGCTCCAAAATGCAGAGGATATTTTTTGTGTGATATGAGGGTTTCTGAAGAACAGGGTATTACGATGGAATACAAATTGATGTATTGGAGATAAAAGTTTAGTCAGTGCATAAACACAATATCTATTTCTTTGAGGAAAGGAATTCTCTCTCTTTAAACTTTCCCACCAGTCTCTATCTTTTTCACTGTGTTGGGAACAATGCCTGGTGCGTTACTCCGTCAATATTTGTTGAATAGAAGGAAAGTAATTGCATCTATTCTTCAATCTCTATATGCATTTTAACTTCAAATCCCCCTTCCAATTTGACTTCAATTATGCAGTTTTTTCAAGCCCTGTAGTAATACTGTTTTTCCCTGCATGTCATTTTTTTTCCTCCATCATGCAGAACTATTATTTCTTTGAATGATTTTCAAAGCCACATTCTTCTTGCTGATATTGTTGAAGTGAGTTTGAGCAGCTCTTGTGCAGAAGGCACACTTATTCGTTTTCCGGTTCCAAGATCACTCACTTAGCTTGCAGAGTCTCTTTGAGTTGGCAACATGCAATGGATTATTGTGTTCCCTGTAAGCAATTCTATTTTAAATGATAAATGAATATAACTGGCCTCTGTATTTCATTTTTCTGAAGAATGTATATTGTGGGAGCTCCTCCGACCTCACCTAAAGCCAATCTCCGTACTTCTATTATAATTATATTTGTCTGTGCAAAAAACATCCCTATGCTTGGTACACAGCAAGGGCTTGTTATTTTTTAAAAATATGAATAAAATGCCCAGCAGGTATAAACTGAGGAGACAGTGATCAGTAATGTACAAAACACATCTTTCTTTTAACCAGTCATTGAGCTCGTCCTGTTCTCACACCCTCTTCCCAGTGACTGCAGGAAACATTTGGTCCTGTCACTTAGTCCCGTTTCACACAGTTCTTTTGAAATAAACCCCTCAGTCTTCCTGTGTTTCTCTCCTTGCTCTGGGGGGTGGGGTGGGGTGGGCAGGGGCAGGAACAAGTTCACAAGGCCTCAAGGCAGAGCAGAAGTGTCTCCGCCTCCCTGTCCCCTGCTTCTCCCTGGTTCCATTGCCTTTTGCTTGGCTACTCCATCTCCGGGCACCTGGGCTGAGGGCCCAGCGTGTGCCCGGTTCTGCTGTGGTTTCTGACGTCAAGCTCTCTGCATTCCCAAACTGTTAGCAGCCTGACCCCAGGCATTTCCCACCCATCAGACCACTCAAGATTTCTGGGTGGAGAAGTGAATGCGTCTCAGGGTCAAACCATCACCTCTTCCCATTCCTTCCAAACCTACCTTTTCCAACTTGCTCCTGTTCCACCACAAATCAGCTACATGAGAAGGAGGAGGAGAGGAAGGTGGTGGGGGGCAAAATGAGGGTGCGCAGGGGAGGGGGGTGTCCTATTATGGTAAGAGGTCACCATAATTCTAGATCTAGGGCCATTTTGTTGTTATTTGTTCCTTTTATTAGAAAAGTAGTGTGACATTACAAATAAGCAGGAGTAGAAAAAAGAAAGACAATAATTCCACTATTCTAACCCAATTTCTATTAACATTGTTGATCTATTCTGTTAGTTTCCCCACGCATAATAATTAAAGTTTTAAAACACAACTTTAAAACATTTACTATTTCTTTTATTGGAGAATAATATTCAAAAGCAAATGCACTCAATTATTCCACCACCTAATATCTACTGAGTTCCAAGTATAAGCAAATCACATGGTAGGTACCGTGGAGATATGAAAGATAAACAAGATACACTCCCTACCCCTCCAGAAACAATTATGAAAAATAAGACTTGTACATAAATATGTAAAAGGTTGCAAGTGGTAAAAGCCATAACAGAGATAGAGAATAACTGCTCTGGAGAATCACATTTCTATATTCTCACCTCAAAACATGTGGGAACCGTTCTAACATAGTAATCATTAATGATGTGCGTACTAAATGCCAAGGTACTTCTAACAATTTCATTATATGGTATCTTACAATGGTCATTAAACAGTATTTTCTACTTGATTTTTTCCCCATTGAGCATCAATTTTTCTAGGTATTAAAAGTTTCATTCATTCATTAAACGATCATGTGCAGTTATCTGCAAGATTGCTGCAAGATTGCTGACTCACGTTGGAATGCTGTTGCTTTCAGATGCTTTTTTCTGAGTTTATGATACATTCATTACACTTCTCATCGAATAACTGAAAGTGGTGCAGTTGAGGTAAAAACCATTAAGAAATCCCTAAGTAGTGGTATGCAAGAAAATGACATAATAGTTTTGTATATGGCTTGTAACCCAAAATGTTGCTTGGTCAGAAAATGTTCTACCCCTGGTATATCTATTCTTCCTATATTCTAAGAGACTCCAAATCTCTAAAGAGACTCTAAAATCTGCATCTTTGGAAAGTTTGACCTTTTTCCCCCTAAGAAGGTGGGTGAGGGTCTCTGTAGTTTTCAGACTAAGTATCATCGTCATATTCTTGTAAGGCTCTAAACTGTACCGAGTGCGTTTGATCTTGAACTAAAAAAATGGCTCATCTTATTTACCCATTTTTATGCCGAGTGATAAAACTGCTGGTATATGGCTCATAAATATTTTATTAGGTTTTCTATATGCATTAAGCTAGCGAGGTGTCTTATTTTCATGAATTTATTACAACAATTTAAGTAGTAGTAATAATAAAATTTTGCATTTAAATAATTCTTTTCTCCTGGGAACTCGGAGTGTTTCTGCACATCAATTAATGCCGGATGGCAGCGTCATCTCTCCAGCTTTATTTTATTATTCCATCTTTATAATGTGTTGCTTGGCGTTTTTGCTTCTCACCAAGGTCAATGAAGGGGCTATTATCAAGGCCTTTTTGAGGATTAATTATGTAACAGAATGTTATTGCTCAGCAGAAACTCTTATGAAGTTCTGCATTCACCAGATATAGATTAAAAATCATTCCGTGGCTTCACTGCCAATCAAAATCTTATCTATACCATCAAATCACATGTTATTAATTACTGCCAAGAGTTACTTTTCAACCATTTAACAACATGTCCTTTCTAACTACCAAACAGCTCATGTAAAGAAGTTATTATTTACACACACCAAAAACAGTACCTTTTAAGTGCTATCCTCAGGGCTGTTGCATTTCTCTTCTGTTAGAGGTGCTTAACTTGGGTTTCGGAGATGGGCTTCAAGGGTCTGTGAATTGATGATATTTGCTATTGGTAATATTTAAAACAAATAAAGCACAAAGGCAACTCTTCTATTTGGAAAGCTATGTGAGGAAGCAGAGACAGAGGAACTATCTGGTCTCTAGTTTTTGAAATTGCAGTCACTGTGTGCGCGTTTCTGCCAACCCCAAGATGGTGAATTACTGTAACTTAACTCTGCCAAGTGCCCAGTTTCTAGAATCCATACTATTGCATATTTCATGAATTTGCTTTCGAAGCCAATATCTCATTTCTGGCTACTCCTGGGAAATCCCAAACCACTGGCAATTTTTGCATGAGCCAAAGTCTAGCAATTTACAAATTCTGTTCAAAACACCAGTCTTGCATATGCTCTATTCCATCTATTTAAAACAGGCAAATTCACAGAAAATGAAACTACGTCTTAACTATTTCATGTGTTCATAGGATATAGGTCAACTCTTTCATCAGATTCTGAACTTTGATGATTGAAATTTTAATAATTTTTTACTGACTGTGCACCAGGTGCAGAGCGCTAAAAGGCAGTTAGAAGATATATTCAACTAAACTACCAAAAGCTGCATGCCAGGCATTTTTAAAAACATAGTCTATAAAGGTCAAAATAATCCTGTCTACCTATTTTCCCAGTTTTATAGACAAGTTGTTGAGCCTCAGAAAAGTTTACTAAATGGTTTGAACTCACCCAATTTACTAAATGTAAAACCATGCTTCTAATGTCAAACCCAGGTGCTAATTCCAAAGGCCCCACTCTTTTGAACCTTTATAATTCATCGTCCTCTTAAAAGTTCTGGGTCACTGTTTGGAACTTTTGTTGTGTTTCATTACGCTTAAGGGTTTTACCCTTTGGGTAAAGTGTACCTATTAGAATGGCTAAAATCCAAAGCTGATAATACCAAATGTCAGCAAGAATGTGGAGCAACAGGAACCCTCATTCATTGCTGGTGGGAATAAAAATGGTACGGCCACTTTGGAAGACAGTTAGGCAGTTTTTCACAAAGCTTACATAGTCTTACCATACAATCTAGCAGTTGCACTCTTTGGTATTTATCCAGATTAGTTGAATATATGTCCATATAAAATCTGCACATAAATGTTCATAGCCGCTTCATTTATAATTGCCCCAAACTGGAAGAAACCAAGATGCTCTTAAAATGGTGAATGGATAAACCAACTGTGGTCCATCCGTACTGGAATAGCATTCAGTGATTTTTAAAATCAAGACATGAAAAGACAAGGAGGAACCTTAAATGCATATGACTTAGTAAAAGAAGCCAATCTGAAAAATCAATATTCCATATGATGTCAACTATGCAACATTTTGGAAAAGGCAAAACCATGAAGACTGTAGGATATCCCAGTATGGTGCTGTAGTGGTGGGCACATAACACTACTAAAGAAAAATTCTGTTTCCTCTACTCACAACACTTCAGACACCAAATATGTGGGAGTTTTTCCCACACCAACCAATTTTCCAGCTCTCCTGACACCAAGCGGGTGTTCTGCAATTCCGTTCTGACACTAAATACCTAGAGTTCGGGCAGACCCCACAGATGAAGGGCTCAGCTCAACAAGCCTACCCCTGCTCAGGTGCCAGTCACAAGTAGTGGGCCCCCAGGTTCACACTTCTGTCCGACTTGGCTATAAATCACACGACCTTGTCTCAGGTTTGATAATTTGCTATAATAACTCACAGAGCTCAGGGGAACATGTTTACTGGTGTATTATAAGGGATACAATAAAGGACACAAATAAACAGCCCAATGAAGAGATACGTAGGGAAAGGTCCAGAAGGTTCCTGAGTGCAGGAGCTTCTGTCCCTTTGGACTTGGGGTGCATCGCCCCCCCGCCACCACCAGCATGTGAATATATTTAACTTGGAAGTTTAGTTAAGGGATTTTTATGGAGGTCTCATCACATAGGAATGATCAATTACTAATTCATTCTCCAACTCCTGTCCCCTCAGAGGATGGAGGGTGGGGCTGAAAGTCCCATGGTTCCCATCATGGCTCGGCCTTCCCAGTGACCAGGCCCCATCCTGAAGCTGCTGAGGAATCCACGCAGGGTCATCTCATTAGAACAAAAGCAGCTCCTACCACTCGGGAATTTCCAAGAGATTCATCACTCAGAAAATTACAAAGGTTTTAGGTGTTGGGAATTGGGGTCAAAGACTAAAAATGGAACAAAAGATGCTACAGCACCGCTGTCACCCATAAATTACGAAGGTTTCAGGAATTCTGTGTCAGGAATAAGGAGAAGAGATCAAATATATATGTTTTATTGTGTCACAGGTGGATACCTGACATTATACATTTGGCAAAACCCACAGAACTTTACAAAGATGAACCCTGAGGTACCCTTTTGTTACTAAGAATGTATCAGTATTGGTTCTCCAATTGTGACAAATATATCAAACTAATGCAAACCAATTAGGTGTTAATAACTGGGGAAACTAGGAGGTGAGAAACTAGGAGGGGAGGGAGGGGGTGACTAGGAACTTTCTGTACAACCTGCTCGATTAGCTGTAAACCTCAAACTACTTCAACAAAGCAAAGGCTGTTTTTTTAAAGAAAGGTGAAAAACAGTCAATGAGGTTGGTTGTCAAACTGGTCAATGAAAAAGCTAGTGTAACATTTGTCAAAATGAACTTAGGTACCAAAAGAATCTAATTAAAATCACCGTTCAATAATCTATGTCTGATCAGAGCCATCCACTACAAGGCCACCTCGGAGATAGCTATGGTCTCTGTGCAGTTTGGAGTGACCACTGAAGGAAAGCCCGCAATGATGTAAACCTCAGGCAGACATAGATAAGGAAGTTAAGCTTCATACTTTCAAAACCAGCGACTCCCTCAGGTCTTGTTTTATTTTCACAAACCTCACTTTATCTGAACTTTGAAATCTCATCAAGATTTCATCCAGATGGTAAAAGCAGAATAGGACGCCCGTGGAGAATTAAAGATAGAAATAGTCGTTTACGTCCGTCTAAGCTGTATCCTAGCCAGAGTTTTTGCAGAGCCCAGTTGCCCTCTGTTTTGGTGTGAATGTCTCCTGTCCTTTTCATTCTATTCTTCCGTGCAAGTAAGTCACCTCCTTACATCGTATTGGTTTTCAAATTGCCTCAGAATCTTTCAACCTGACCTTCCATGACCAGCAGGAGATGCCCAGGAAGCCTAAGGCATTCCCAAACCCAGGTTTTTATGGATAGAATTCTTATTTTGAATTTTATCGAGCTAGTATTCATAAATCATAAGAAATTTCCTATGAAATTTAAATATAAAACGTTGCTTTTAATCCTTGGATGGGTGAGTGAAGGGTTTAGGTTTAGTTCAATTTCCCCCTTCTCAGGAACACAGACTCAGAGAAAAAAACAGACTCCATCAAAGGCCAGGACTCAAGTCTTAGGATTTCGAATCCAGTTCTCTTTTCCTAAAACTAGGCAATCTTTACATGTCCTAGAGGCCTTGCGGGCACCCTACCCCCCAGGTGAGCTGTGAGTGGGTCCTCTAACAGCCAGCTCCATTACCGGGCCTGGAGGCTGGCTTTCTCTCTGCAAAAGCCAGAACTTGGGCTGCTATTTTAATAAACATGTTTTAAATTATTATAAAAGTAACAATATCACCATTGTAGAAAATTTAGCAGAGTAAGCAGCAAGAGCTGTGGGAGGAGCTGAAAGAAGCGGGACAGACCAAAGGACTAGAGGGAGGCAGGGCATGAGGGGAGGAAGGAGAAAAAAAGACCATTTACAACCTCACCACCCCGAGGTAACAAAGTATTTTGCTGCTTTATCACCATGGATGATGTGTGACATTCTATATATACTATTGTGACTTGCCTTTTTCTATTGAATAGCTTTCTGCCGGAGGCAGTGTGGCTAGAGACAGGGGCTGGCAGAAACAGTGTAGCTAGTGGGTAAGTGTATATACAACCTGTAATTAGACTGCCTGCTTCCCATCCTTTCTCAGCTTCTCATCAGCTGTGTGACCTGAGCAGGCTACTCTACCTCTCTGTTATCTCAATTCCCGTCTGTAAGATGGACAAAATAACAGGAACTGCTTGATAGGGTCTGTTGTGAGGATTCAATAATTTAATATATTTCAACCACTTAAAACCCTGGCACAAAGCACACTCTTTATCAAGGGTAAACGTTTCTTAGTCAAGAACTAGACAGTAAATACTTTAGGCTTTGTGAGGTCATCCGGTTTCCGTGGCAACTCTGCAATGTTGCCCTTTTTGCATAAAAGTAGCCATAAATGATTGAGTGTGGCTAGGTTCCGATTAAAGGTTATGGACACTGGATTTGAATTTCATGTCATTTCAGATTATAAAATACTCTTTCTTTTTTTTTCAACCATTAAAAAATACAAAAATCATTTTAGCTCATCGGCTACACATGGCAGTGAGCTTTACAAACGTTGGGCCACAGTTTGCTGACCTCTGTTCTATATATTCAGTAGACATTATGTCTCTGATATCTTTATATCAATTATTTTTAAGAACTGCTTAGAAACAAGACTGTTTGGATGTCCTATAACTTCCTTAGTTCCCTATGCTTAGAATTTGAGCTATTTCACCATGCATTGTCATAAGCCACTCTCCAATGAATGTCCACGCAAAATCTTTGTGCACGTTTATATCTACATCTTATAATTTAGTGGTAGCTACTAAAATGGCTGACAGAGCTTCTGGAAGGAAATAGACTTTGAAAACAGCGGCCTTGATAACTAATCTTGTATAATTACAGCAAATTTCAAACATGTTAAAGAAGGAGCTTTATAAGTATAATATATATTACATAGTCCCATACATAGAACTTACTACCACATACCATTCTAAGCCTTTTCTATGTATTAGATCATTCAGTCCTCAAAACAACCCTGCGAGACACAGGTGCAACCATGAACATTATCTTCATCAGCATCATTATCAACATTACCGTGGTTCAAAAGAGGAAACTGAGGCACAGAGAAGCTATGTAAGTTCCCCAAGGTCACACCACTAGCTGGTAGCAAAGGCAGGATTCAAACCTGGTCCGGTGAGTCCTGTGGCCCATGTTCTCGACGAGTGCGCACGAACAGGTACCCACTTGGGGTCTTTTTTATATTTAGCTCATGTTGCGGACGCAGGAACGACCTCATACAGTTTCTATCCCACAACGGGGCACCGGGTGGAAACTGCGAATGCCTGTCCCTTCCTCTTGCGTCCGCCTCCCCCTGCCCCGGTGCCCACGCTGCATTAGTGTGCCTCGCATCTTACCCAAATAGCCGCCCTCTATAGACGGTAAAGATTGCTCGAGGTATACTTTCATACCTTGGTTTCCCATTTATGGTCGCAAATCTACCAAATCCACGTGGTAAACTCGGGTGCAGCTTCGCCTGCCCCCGGGCCCCGCGGCGCACGTGCCGGGGAGGCGCCCCCCTGCGAGCGCAATGCGGGGGCTTGTCGGCCTCGCACGTGGCTCCCGGCCGCCCCGACCGCACGGGCGCCGGCGAGAGGCCCTCGGCCCGCGAAGGGAGCCGCCGCCCTCTTCCCAAGCCGCCCCCTGCCGGGGCTGCAGGCGGCGCGTGCGGACGGGGCAGCCGCCCCCCCAGGCCCGCAGGGGGCGCCGGGCGGCGAGCGCGTGCGCGGTGCAGGCCCGGCCCGGCCGCCGCGATGCCTATTTCAGTCCGAGCCGCCGCGGGCTGGGCACCCGTCCCGGCCCCGCAGCCCCGGGCGCCCGTCGAGCCGCCGCGTCCGTGCGCCGCCAGGCGCGGCTCCAGGTAAGGCGCGGGGACGCCGGCAGCCGCGCGCGCGCCGGGCTAATCGGGGAGCCCCGGGGGCTCCGGCTCGGCCGCGGCTGCCGGGCTCCGCCCTCGGGGGCTCCCGTGGCCGGGGAGGCTACGGCCCTCCGGCGGCAGCGCCACCGCCCCGGCGCTCGAGGCCCCTCGCTGCCGGTGCCCGCGCTCTGCGTCGGGCTCGCGCCGGAGGAGCCTGGCCCTGCCCCCCACGCCGGGCTCGCGGTGTCGCCCGCCCCGGGCCGGCGCTCCCGGCGCAGCCCCGGTGACCCAGGAGCTCCAGGCCAAGGGGACAGCTGCCCCTGGGCGTCCCGGAAGGAGCGCGGTGAGCGGGGCCCCCGGGGAGCGCAGCCGGCCGGGAAGCCGGGGCGCCCCGCCGCCCACCCGCGCCCCCGTTTGCGGGCTCTGCAGACGAGTGTTGGCCAGACAAGTCCCAGAACTGCTTGTTTAAAGCAAGAGTAAGCGGAGGAAGACCTCAGCCCCGTGCGCCCCGTGCCACACCGCGGGTGTGCAGAGCAAGGGTCCGCGGGCATCACAGAATCAAGCAGCTAAGTCGGCTGATGCGACTTCTGCACACTGCTGCTAGCGTTCTCATTTTTCTAATTTGGTGAAGGGTTAATGTTAGTTTCACCATTGATATTTAGCCCTGTCCTGCATACAGACCTATTTTAAAACAGATAAACAGGAAATTTAAGGGATTAGACTCGGAGGAAGTAATAGGAAAAAGAAAATTTATCTTGATTTAATCAAAATCAATATGAACGTTTACCAATTTATCAGTCTAGCCTTCCTCATTAACTCATTCAGTGTCTGTATAAGGATAGTTCAGAGAAAACCACTTAAGTATGTTAATTGTGATCACAGGGGCTGAAACAGGTAAGATCCCATCAATATTTATTAACAATAGGTAACTGGCATTTCAAAATGGACATAAAGATAAACATACAAAATAAATAATAGACACATAGATGAGTAGACAGGTAAATATACAAATAAACAATCGTATGTAATAAATGCATAGGTTATTATATGAGATATAATACATAAGGTTTTAAATAAATATATATATATATATGTATCTTTAAATAAGGTGTGATGCATCTGAATACGGTGTGGGATGATCCCACCTTTAAAAAATTCATGTTCCTCTTTCCCTGGTTCTTGTGTTAGTGGATCACGGTTTTCCAGTCATTTCTCCCAGACCAGAAAATTGGTACTTTTAGTGCCACTTGAGGAACTTTTAAAAGCCTGAAACTGAACTACAGAGGATGAGCTGGTACTCAGGTGGACATGAGGGGAATACATATTGATTTATTACATAAATGTGTATTAGAGCCACAGGCTATTAAAATTTGCAGGGACTTCAAAAACCACCTAGCGCAGCGGCCTCTCCTTCCAGCAGGAAGTGGGTCCGAGGAGCAGAGCGCCCCTCCCCGGTGGCCCTGTGGGGTGCGCGGGGTTCCTGACCCCTTCAACCGCGGGAAGGCTACGCATTTCCGTCGTCTTTGCTGCCGAGGTGTGCGGAGACTGCGAGGTGATTTCTGAACGTGCCCATCCTGTCTGTGTCCCTTCGGGATGGCTCTCACCTCTGCCTCTGGCTTTCTCTACAGAGGCTGGGCCTTGCTTTTGCAGAGATGAACGTGGTGTGCCCCTGCCTCCTGGAGGAGATGGGGTATTTCAAAGAACAGATAGGGTGATGGGAGGGGAAGCCCATCCTAACGTGCCATAGAAGCGGTAGTTCCTATTAGCTGATGTAATGCTAATACATAAAGCTGACGTTGGTATTAGCTTATCAATGATAGAGGACATTTAATATCATTCTCCCTTCTACAGAAATTAAGAGATTAATTCTGATTTGGTCCTTGAAAGCAAACTTCATATACATGAAGTTATTAAAATAATTCATGCCCCGTTCCCTCAAACCCAATAGGCTATTTTTATTGATTCAAACCTTTGGAAAGTAGTTGAATTTTTATGATTTATTTCCTTTTTTTGCAGAAAATCTATGTCTAAGTCAATTCTTTCTCTATATTAAAAAGATATTTCAGAAATATGTGGAGAGATCTTTAATTGACTTAATCATTCCATGTAAATGTGTGTATTTTTAATCATCTTAAGAGATGTGTAATTCTTTCACATTTATCTAATAACATCCTTACAAAATGCCCAACCTATAGCAACTATTCTTCACCTTTATTAAAAGCTTTACTTTAGTATGATGAAAAATAGGAATGGAAAAGTACACTTAAATGTGTGACCTTATTTGGAGAAGATACATATACTCAAATTAAATTTAAAGGTATTTTGGGTCCCATTTGGAATTCTTTTCCTGAAACAGAATAATCACATATTCAGTAAATCTACATAGTTTTGTCAGGCACCATTTCTTATAATTAATAATAGAACTTTTTAAGTACCAGAGATGGAAGACAGGTAGTATAGCCACTTTGTGTTAAGGTTTATGTAAGCATGTATAAAATGTATATTCCCTGAACTGTATTTGCTACAGATTTTAATATTAAATAGTTGAATGTATATTCGTGACCCCTCCTATATATAAGTAAACTGGAAATTTACTGCTTTTCAATTTGTGAGATGCTGCCTACTAGAATTTTTATGGGAAAGAAAGTAGAGATTTAGATTAGACAGTAAAAAGAGTAGATGTTATATCTCTCTGTATACATAAATGGCTATAGTAATGTATTTAATTATGTGCATATATGATAATGTAGAATGTATATGTGTAAGATAAAATGATTTAATGACAGGATAAAAGTAGAGCCTTCTAACTATTCAAATCCTTCAAAGAGTAATTATGAGGGTTTTAAGTTTTTTGAAAGTGTTCAAAACATCAGTTTTTCTTATTATTTTTCCTGTTTTTTGGATTCAGTGTCACTCGAGAGGAATTTTGATGAAAGACTATACTACACTACAATTGCTGTGGTTAATAAACATTGGTGATTGTCTTTTAAACTAGTTAACTAGTTAATTCATTCCTCTCTCCCCCAACAGGGATGTTTATCCACAGATACATACAGCTGACCCTTGAACAACATGGGTTTGAGCTGCGTGGTCCACTTATATGTGGATTTTTTTCAGTAAATATAGTGGAAAATTTGTTTAAGATTTGCAACAGTTTGAAAAAAACACTTTCATTTCTTAAGCTTCCTGTATTGTAAGAACACAATATATACTACATATACAAAATATGTGTTCACCAACTGTTTATGTTATCTGGTCAACAGTAGGCTATTAGCAGCTAAGTTTTGTGGGAGTCAAAAGTTACACAGAATTTTGACTGGTGGCAGGGGTTGCGTATCCCTAATTTCCACTCTGTTCGTAGGCCAACTGTGTATAGGTATATATCAGGGAATAGTTGTACACTATGCTAAGTATTTTATATATTTCATTTCATTATCAAATCAAATTATTATCATCATTTAACAGATAAGGAAATAGATACATTTAGTATGTGACAGAGCTGGGATTTGAACCTAGGTCTGTCAAACTTATAAGCCCCAGGGAAATCTCTTTACCAACATTTAGTTCACAAAAATAAATTTGGTGTAACATCAATAGAGGTGATAAGACACAGTTGCCATTTTTATAATTGCCCTCCTGTTTATTTGTTTTTACAGGAATTTTCAAGATGAATTACACAGAGTCCAGCCTATTGGCAGAATCAACTGCAATAGGTTTTATCCCAGAGTTAGGAAGTGTCACACCTGTGCCGTCCAATGAGACCACCTGTGAAAACTGGAGAGAGATACACCACCTAGTTTTTCATGTAGCGAATATTTTCTTCGCCATTGGATTGGTTATTCCAACTACTCTTCACCTTCATATGATACTTCTTAGGGGGATGTTAGCCATGGGTAAGATTCATAACTGAGATGTTATGGAACTTCTCTGTAACCAGCATCAGCCGGGCTTTGTTGAACCTCCGCAGGGCTTCAGGTATTCATGATACCTGTATTCTACATTTTTCAGGTCCATAGCACCCTGAAAATACACGAGTGTTTGCAAATTGGCAGTGTCTCAAGTAACTTAGAACATAAGCCTTCACATATCATCTCTCTTATTTATTTGAGCTAAAATGATGCACAGGCACACCTCAGAGATATTGAGGAGTTGGTTCCAGAATGCCACAATAAGTGAGCCCAATGTTTTGATTTCCCAATTCATGTAAAAGTATGTTTACACTATACTGTAGTCTAAGTGTGTAATAGCCTTGTCTTAAAAAATGTACATACCTTAATTAAAAAATACTTTATTGCTGAAAACTGCTAACCGCCATCTAAGTTTTCAGTGGGTCATAATCACTGATCATAGATCACCACAACAAAGAGAATAATGAGGAAAAAGTTTGAAATATCATGAGAATTACCAAAATGTGACTCAGAGACGTGAAATGAGCAGATGCTGTTGGAAAAATAGCTCTGAGAGACTAGGTCAGTGCAGGGTTGCTACACCTTGAATTTGTAAAAAAAAAAAAAAACCAGTATCTGTAAAGTGCAATAAAGAGATGAGCAGTAAAACTACGTCAGCCTGTATGTTTTCTAGTGTTTAGATTTTCAGGATAATCAGAAAATCCACTCATGTGAAAGACTGTGGACTTTTAAGTGAGATGGTGTGATTCAAATCTTGGGTC